AAGAACGTCTCAAACAGTTGTTTTCTTTACTCTTCTCTAATAGGTTTAGTTTCAGTTAATGTAGACTGCTGAAATCTCACGTACATTTGTAGTAACTGAAACAGACTTGATGAGTCTTGGCACACAGTGAAACCAGGTATGCTATCAGAGAATGGGCTAAAAGATAAATTAAGTCCATCATCCTGAAAATGAAATACGTGTCTTGCTAATAATATGGGGGTCACAAAACGAAACTAGAAGTACATTCGTGCCTTTAGACGTGCTGCTTAATAGGTATTTCAGTGATGTGGAAAAGTCGATAAACGTGATACGAAATAATGTTTACGTGTACTACCAATCCATTAGCAGGTATTCTTATTCAGTATTAATTTCAAAGAACTCCTTTAATCCTGTTTGAAAATGCATAGCAGTGTTTCTGTCATTCCGAACATTAGCTCGCGCCATGCTTATTCATTTGGTAAAATTATGCGATAAAGAAGAATTACATCACAAGCATAAATCACTTTATGCTTCAAAAATTAAAATATTCATTTTCAAACACCATGAAGTTCAATGTTCAGTGTTTACTTCCTCAACTTCATACGTTTTGGATTACTAATGGTAACATGCGTTTTCGTCTAGGGTAACGAATTAATTTGGAATATGTTAATATGATTAAAAAGTTTCTTGGAATCAGAGCACATCGGATTAACTCAGCGCAATAACTCTCACGCAGAAGTTCATTTATTCCATTATTTCTATTACAGTACCTTTGTTTCGTGAATTAGATATTATTGAATATAGATCGAATGACAATCTGTTATTTGTTCCTGGTGTTTCGGTAGCACATTTTTGGATAAATGTTGGTTAAAAACTCATTTGAATATTATGTTTTCCGTTTTGATTTGCTAAACACACTCTCATTAAACTGAAAGTGAAGAATATTTATTAGAAAATATTTGAAATATATATTTGATGCATTGATATGAGCCTTAGCCCTAAACTATGTGTAATTAAATATAGCTCTTAATATTATATTTCAAATAAGATATTTATTACGAACTTTTGTCCTATTAACTTATTTAATATTTGATTTTGTTTTCCAGTAAAATAAGTGCTGAGGCGATTTATTTAAAGTCGTAGAGAATTTAATTTAACGATTAAGTTATTTTACATTATCTAAAAACTTTTCACACAACCACCAAGATCTAAGCTGTTTCCAAGTTGTACTAACAGTTGCACCAGTTGTTTTACATTATCTTAAAGCTATATGTAGATAACTAGTTCTAAACTGTTCCAAACATATACTAACAGTTGCACCAGTCATTTTACATTATATTAAAGCTATATACAGATAACTGGTTCTAAACTATTCCAAACATATACTAACAGTTGCACCAGTCATTTTACATTATATTAAAGCTATATACAGATAACTGGTTCTAAACTATTCCAAACATATACTAACAGTTGCATCAGTTATTTGACATTATCTTAAAGCTATATACAGATAACTGGTTCTAAACTATTCCAAACATATACTAACAGTTGCACCAGTTATTTTCCATTATCTTAAAGATATATACAGATAACTAGTTCTAAACTGTTCCCAACATCTATTAGCAGCTATGATTTGTTTTTCTCTCACAATAACACATATATCCTCAGCGTTCTAGTGAAGTGTTAATACGATATTATAAAGTAAATTAATTATTTATCTCAAACGTTATGAGACATTGGATTTTATAGGTCTCATTCACTTACAGTTTGCATGAAATACTGTTACAAATTATGAACACCAAATATAAATGTGCAAATTTAATACAGAGTTTTCTTTCAACTGTAAGTAGCTAAACAAGGAACTTCCTTGTTAAATCGTGACCAGGCTGTGTCGGTTACGAAACTAGCAACTAAACATACAGAACCGTTTCCGTACAAAAAACATTTTCAGTAATAAAATCTAATTATTTTCATACCTACGTTTGTAGACCTGTTGAAGACACTGTTTAATATAAGTTTTCCTAGAAGTTGGTCAGCTTAACCTCTAACCTGAAAGGAACGTTGAATAAGGAGATGGAGATTATGTTTTCATCCCTCTCTGTGTATGTGTGTGTCAGCAAGATTTCTCGAAAACGGCTGAATGGATTTGGAAGAAAGTTGTTATAGATTTGGACTATGACCCAACATAGAAGTGATTAGTTCTTGGAGGGACAAGATCAAGGTTGCAGCATCCGATCATTTTTGACTGGGTTATAGGGCAAAAATATGTGAAAAATCGGTCCACATGTTAACAGATCGAGATGTTTTGAATATTCATGACCGAGTCAAAAATGATCAGATTTTGGTGAAACTTGGTGAACTTATCTATATGAAAAATTGTTACCGATTGTCCTGCCAAAAATAGTCCGTGTCCGTTGATAACGCCGGACAAACGGACACATGTTCTTATTTTTTGAGGGTCGAATATGATGTCGTGGCGGATGTATGCGCCTTACTGAGTTCAGGTTGCAGAAGGTTTTACCATCCATGCCAGTACTCGAGCGTGTTTTGTTTTAAATTATTATAACAATTTTACCAATTTGTTAGAGCAGCTTTACACGCTAGTGATAATTATAATTCTTAATTAAAAAAAAGTACAGATTTATCTTTAACCTTCTAATAAGACCTACTCTCATTTCAGTTTGTCTATTAATTAATACACATCTTCAAAGCTTAAATTTTGTCTTTGTCATTATATTCTCTTTTTTAATAAGATTTTTTTACATTTGTTTGCTGCTATAAAAATGGTATAGGTTCTTGTCTTTTTTTTCTACGGTCGAAATTAATATCCACCGATTACAACTAACTTTGCAGATATAGTTATTTAATCTGTACAATAATAAAACCGATACACTGGTTTTGAGAGTATCAAACTATCTCACGTGATAACAGAGCTAATTTTAAAGATCTGTGTATAATACTTGGTTTGGTTTGTTTCGAAATTCGAGCAAAGCTACACGAGGGCTATCTTCACTAGCCTAATTTAACAGTGAAAGAATAGAGGGAAGGCAGCTAGCTAGTCATCACCATCCAACCCTAACCCGTGGGTTACTCGTTTAGCAACGAACAGTGGGACTGACAGTCAAATTATAACGCCCCCACGGCTGAAAGGGCAAACATGCTTGGTAGGACGAGAATTCGAACCCGCGACCACCATATTGCGGATCGAGCGCCCTAACCATCTGGCCTTGCCAAGCCCTATATATATATAATACATCGTCTAAAATACTCCATTTTCTACTGTGGCCCGTTTTAATCATAAAGAAGATATACCTTTTTCTTGTGATATGGAAATGTATCGAAGTTGATAATATTCAATGGAAATTTATTTAAAATGATATCACAACTCGTGTCCAAACTATTGTGTTTACTTTTGTACACGTGTCTTAGTTTAAAAACACACACATACAAAGAACCCACAAGTAATGTGCAGCATCGTTCACAGGTAATCATAATTATGGGAATAATGTATTGAGTTAATATTCGGTTTGTATCTTTGATTATTAAAATAATTAGCATATAAAAGAGAAGGTCATTAATAAAAAGGTATTTAAATAAACATTTTCATAATAACCTTTCACAATGCTTTATGAATTTAAATCTATGTAACCTATATAAAATACGTTTCAGCTATTAATCGTTATTTATGATGAATATAACTATTATAGATAAGCATAGTAGTAGAAAAAAGTATATTTTACTAGCTTCATTATACCAAAATCTTTGAAATAATAATAACTGACAAACAGTGCTACCAATTTCCAATATATTATATATATTTCTAACAGTTGCATAGAGACAACAATGTAATGTCTAACCCTTAACTGATCGTATTCTTTGGGGAAACAAAGGTGAAATCTATGCCATATAATAAGATACTTTATTGTGTACCTTATATAGGATGTATATAACCAATACGTTTTGGTCTTTGTTTATAAGGGAGAGTTTGAGGCTCTCCAGGTAAATATAGCATTGAAGGGTTCTTCATCTGGTAACAGTAGCGATAGGCAGCGAAACTCAAGTCACGATCGACTTTTAGCTGCAGTTTTGAGCAAAATCAGCTCTCATCAGCACAACTAATGTGATGACAAATATGCCACCTAGTGGACTTTATGTATTATTTTTGTATTCACACATATACTCTTGTTATTTCTTATTATGAAAAAAAAAATAACTTGGTTAATTTATACATAACTGAGGTTCCTATAAAGTTGTAGCTAATAGCGTATATTTTAATGTGAGCAAAACCTTTCTCATCCACAAAAATTCAAACTTATGAAAATGGGACTGAGGAAAATTGTATAGGTAAAATATATTCTAATGTGTAATATGTAAAGCGTAATAACACGTTTGCACGGAATGTTGCATGTTGCTTACATTTCCAATTCTTGTTCTTTCACCGTTTTTATGTAAATTGAATACTCTTTAACTAGTGAATACTAACTACGCTTTGTTAATTTGTATATTATTAAATTGCCAAGATATCGTGATACTGCTATACTTATGTTTTGCTTAGCTTGGCTGATTTTTTTTTCTTTATGGTAACATCCATGAACATTTTTTTTTTCGTATTTTCCTTAATTTGCGAAACGTATGAAATATTTCTAAGATAAAATTTTGATCAAAATGTAATTTAATGTTCGGGCCAACATTAGTTTGCCTGTACACAATTCTAAATATAACTTTTTTTTTTCATTTATACTAAACAACGTTTTGTTTCTTACATTATACAAACGGTTTTTATAGGTGAAATTTTCAAATGAATATCTTTGTGTAAAAGGTTTTTCTTAAATGACATTATGGTCATAGCAACATTCTGGTACTTTCCAAGTATTTCTTCCAGATAGTAAGTAATGTTTTTCTAACATGGTTTTAAAGATATCACTTTTATTTGGTTTTTAATTTTTTCAGCGTACCTAGATTTTATAATACCCTATATATATATATATATCGATTATATAATGGAATTTATTTGTTTGCAGCTTCTTTCGAATGTCAGTTCCCCGCTAGATGGACTGGTCTGTGGTTTCAAAAAGGACTAGAGCCACCCATCAGGATAGAGGGTGACACTTTCTCCTGGAGGGGAAAGTGCATTCATTCAGAAGGCGATTTATTTTTAATTGATGACAGGTGAGTATTAAACAGATGATAACATTTTAAAATAGTAAATATAAACAGTTAACTCCAAGTGTTCAATTACTAGCATAAAACTACTAAAACTTAAGAAGCAACTAGTTTCTCAGTATTTTTCTCCAATCACTGTTCTGGTTTTCTTATCTATTAATTCGAATAACTTTATATTCAGAACAGATATTAATTTGTTAATATTTTTATGCTGTGGCAGTCTCATCATATTTTTGATGAGATAACTGGTTTAGTGAGAAGGTAACAAATCTTAGCTTGTATCTGATGATGAAGATATATCGAAGATAAGACACAAACACAACACCGTTCATACACATGTACCAATTACATTATCCAAATCATTTAAATTATATACATGAATTATTTGAATAGCATGTATTCCAAAAGTGATGGACTTCAACAGGGTTTAACAATGACACACTGAGTTACGTAATTATGCATGTTTTAGCCCATTGTTATTATTGCTCTCATTTTACATATAATATTAATACTTGTTAAGTTTTGAGGCAAATTCTGGATCATTATTTTGCACTTTATCTCATATCAGTAAAAGAGTTTCTGGGCCGAATTTTGGTGTTGGTTTTGTAAGACATTTCATTATGTAATTTATTTTCTGCTAGCCAGAGTAATTAGATTTGCGTTTTATAATAAAACTACCCGAGACTCAAGATCTTATTTGCTAAACATTTCACTAGCTCCACTCACAGTGGATAAAACTCTAAAAATAAAAGTTAAAACAGAAGAAAAAAAATATCGTAACATTTTCTCGAGAAATATGTTGTTATGAGATAGTATAATATAAAATAGAAACCTACAATATTATTGATGTAAAAAAATATATAATAGTGCGAAACGAATCATATTCAAAATCAGGATCACCAGGATTATAGTAAATCAACACTCATTTCAAAAATAAAGAAATTGTGTCACAACAGTAACATTGTGTGCTTATAAATCTAATAATTTAGGTTCGATACCTGACGTGGGCACAGCACAGAAATGCATCGTGTAGCTTTGCAGTTAAAAAACACGCACTTAAATTAACGAGAGCTTACATAGTTGCAAAGAACGTTATAGAGCAACAGTTGACAATCTATTTGATTACAATGACCAGTCATTTCGAGCTAATTTCATGGTTGTGGTAAGAAGATATCTTTTTATATTATACCTAGGAAGTTAGCAAGCCTTTGTAAGAGTCTTTAGGTTTACAGGAATACCAAAGTCTTTAGGTGTATAAAGCAGTCAAAGTCTTTGGGCTTACAGGACAATCAGAGTCAGAACAGCCTTTGCGGAACATAACGATCTGTAACTGTTTTTTGTTTGTGTAGTAGCTTTTAAAACGACTCAAATGTATTCAGAGATTCGTTCATGGAATAACCAACCAGTTTCTGCTCCAAACTTTTTCAAATCAAACTGACAGATGGCATCCCTTACAAGGTACTAACTTTGCATATCAGAAGAATTACATTGCGTTTTAGCACTGCATTTATAAAATACAAAAATATGATAGGTTATGAGTTCAGTAAAACGAATTGTTACAGTAAATTGCCTTCGATTTTACTTTTTCCCCCTTGTTTTTGGCCTCTTGAAAAGTTCTGAGGTGTTTTTAACTGTTACTAAAATACTTGAAAGGTAAAATTACAGATGGCGGTAAAACAAAACATGATTAAGGCAACTAACCAATCACAAAAACAATTAACACCTGTAAACATCATGGATTACTTGTAGCAACAAAAAGTCGCTGGCAATTACTCATCTATAGCTTTATACTTTGTCTATCGAAATCGTTTTATTTTCCCGAAAGGGGGCCCGAAGGCCGCCGGGGGTGGGGGAGGGTCACCTGTTTTAATCACTTGCATCACTATCCAGTAGTGTGTTGTCTGTCAGTCAGTCAGTAGACACTACAATGACGTCACATAAGGAAGGCTTAACTGTCGTGAAATCAGTAAAACAAACGCATGCCATGAATCACGAGAAGAATTATGAACTCTACTGGCTAGAACACAGCATAACATATGAACTTCAAAAGCAAGAAATACAATTATCTGTTATTTTTGGTTGTATTTACTCTTCAAAGAGAACTATTTCGTTGACCCTGCAGAAGTACATCTAGTATTGTACTCAGGGTAATCTGGTCAGTGTGATGAGGATAACCCGTCAGAGAAGGACTTTCATTAAAAACTGTACTAAACTTGGCTTTGATCTTAATACACAAAAAATAATAATCTATATTTAAAAAGAAACGAAAAATAATACTCATCGTTTTAATTCGAGCGCAGTAAAACCAATTTTCTCGCGACCAAACTACAGCTATTGTAGATTTGGTTTTCAACTTTGTTTATAAATAGAGTTGAACGTTTTCATTTATTATATCGTCTTATTTCCATTTTGTGGATAAAGTTTTTACCATATGCCAGTAATCATATTATGTATTTATGGAGTACAACAATCACGAAATCACTTAGGTGAAGTAAAACAGTAACGACTTAGGAGAGCAGTTGCTGAGCTGGTTTATTGCCCATTGCTTGGCGTTTATCAGCAATACAGTAGGATCAATATGAAAATGCATGCATGTTGATAACGTGATCTGTCACGTGACTAACTAACCCGACTTACTGGTCGTGTTTTAGTACATTCTTGTAAATGTCTACGACTAAAAGTGTGCCAGCTGGAAATAACAGTACTAAAACACTGAAACCTCAAAGTATATATATATTACACTTCGTCTCTTTTCTTAAAGGAAATTGTTAGTAAAACACTGAAAAAAAACTTGATGTTCATTTCAATATCAAAAATGAGATTAAATATAAAACAAATATATATCTCTAGATCAGAGCTCCAAGAAATTAAAGTTTATTGTTTAGAAAACTGGATGTGCTTGTGTAGAATGAGCTCTGTAATTTGAGGACTGTAATAGTATACGTCAGAGATTAAACTTGCCATTCTAATCTAGAATCCGTGTTTCGATACCCGTGGTGGGCAGAGCACAGATAGCCCATCATGTAGCTTTGTGCTTAATTACAAACAAACCGTTCTAATCACGTGTCGATTGAATTGTACGTGAAAATCATTGTTTATGTATGAGTGACTTTATGTGTGTGTGTGTGCTGTTTTTATGAGAACATTAACTTCAATCTGTGAACGTCAATGTGTTCTGGATCAATTACTTTTATACTGTATCTGTTTGCTTCTCCGACTGAAAATAATAAACTGTTTATACTAAAAATTGAGAAACATATTCTATTTATTCTTACAAACTCAGGTAACCTTCTAGAATGTTCGTGATCTACCCGTTTTGTTATATTTCGGATTGTTATTCACACACAAACTAACCAAGTTTTTTTGTGCTTGTCACATACTAACATTAATTGATACCGGAAATGATACGCGATGCCAGCGCTTTCAATATTCTATTTTTTAAACATATATTTCTTTTCTCAAAATTTACTTTAGAGATGTCCTTTAAATCTTGCTTACATAAGGAAATTTTATATGTAGTTGTACTTCTGCGTGATCGAGAGCTTCCCATGATCAGAACGGCCGTAAAACTGGAGGATTGAGTATCCAAAACTTAGCACGCTTCCTCCTAAGGGCAAAAGCACTCTAACTTTGTTTCAAGAAATACACGGCTATTTTACTAATAAAAAATAACCAATAACTATCTAAAGTGCCCTTGAATAACGAGCTGGTTTTAGAAGATTTTGTAGGCTTCTCTATAAATGTGTATGTCACTAAGAAAAATAAAAACGTAAATATTTTGATTATATGAAAATGTGGAAAAATGATAACTGTATCTATGTATGATTTGCAGTCGTTTTTTTTGAATATTTTAAACTCTTTTAAACAAGATTTTTATCTCTCATATATTACTATGATTGTACAATTCATATTTTTACACAACTTACTTTGTCACTGAAGGAAACAATTCCCTTTTCACCCCTGTATACACATCAATATACACGAGTTACATTTATCATCTAAATATTGAAATGTGATAATTACTACTCCAAATAGACTTGTTACGTATTACAATTTATCCTGGATGAGTCTCCAATTTATTACGTAACGTATTATAATTTTGAATAGCCTTAAACTGAGTTAAATGATAATTTGGATTTAGAAACTAAACAAATGTCGATATGTATCCACTTTATGACACTTGCCAACAAGATTGGTACATAGAGTTTTTTAATACAAATATATTTTAATATACAAACGATAGCACAATTTACAATGACGGTTAGTGAAAATACTAATGGCCAATGTGAATACGCTGAAGTTAAATGGTTTGTAGTATTCGAAATTTATAAATGTTCCTGGTTTAATATCTGAAGTTCCCGGTTAATAAGCGTTTAAACAGTTATAGCTTCCGAAGTTTATAGCAGCACAATTTATAGCAAATCAATAACATACACGTCGCGTTGATTATATTTATATGCGTAAAGAGAGTTACTCGAAATTTCAGCTTACGCATTTGTTTGTTTGTAGTTAAGCGCAAAGGTACACAATGGGCTATCTTTGCTCTGCCCACCACGGATATCGAAACCCGGTTTCTAGCGTTTTAACTTCACAGATATTCCGCTGTGCCACTGGGGGGAGGCTCAGCTTACGCAACAATATGAACGATACACGTATATTCTTGATTATTACACTCGAGAATTTTCTACAATTTTAGAGAGCAGGCGGGAATTTCGCAATGTAGCTTTAACAGTATAAGTTATGTACATTTATATATATAAATTTAATTTTAAAAAAACATCGATATTAAAACAGATATAGTATAGTAAATCCGTCAGAGACCCAACATAAATTCTTAAAGGCAACACGATATCGCTTTTAGGAAAATATTATATTTGTATTAGCCGTGACATAGCTGCTCATAGAACGGTTCTGAGTTTTGTTGTTTTTTTTATCAAGTACACATTTTAAGTTCATAGCTCCGGCATCTCCTGACCGATTTCAGATCTAATTGCAGTTTTGGACTC